CCCCCCAATCAGACTTCCATTTAACTACACAAATGGGAAGATGGAAGAATACACCATCATGATCTTTTTATGCTGTGAATACCCCTTAGAACCCTCCGTGTTTCTAGAATACTAAGGAAGGATGAAATTTTGTGACAAAAGATGCGGCACCTTCCTGATGTAATTCTCGGTGATCAAATTGACACTGGCACACTTATCTCCATCAATTGTTTAAAAGCGACTTATCTTGATAGTAGGTTCTAGCCCCTACTATTTATTTCGCGTTGATTGGTCGTCACCAAGGCTCGGGAGACATCATTCATCTCATTACGGAATTTTTAAATGAATAATTCCTATTTTGCTTACAAACTTTTCATATCCTATCTTATTGTAGAGTCAATTTCGGTCATATCTTCTTCCGCATTAGTATGCCGACATCCGAGCAAAGCTTTTCAGTCAGTTGACCTAGTCATCAGCACCTTACCACCTTTTTGATAGGTATTGAGTAGACGTTTCGTATGTGTTTGAGGTTTCTTGTAGGCTTTCTTTATGGTGTAGACTCATAACTCAAAAAAGTGTTTCCCACCTTTTCCAAGAGAATATTTTATGAGTCCGATTTTTTACTTTTAGCTGGTGTCTCTTTGGCCTTATCCTCTGGTAAACTGAAGACGTTTCAAAGTCTCTACACCACTCAAGCTATTTTTTGTTGGTATCTGATGGTCATCTGGATAAAAATCTCTTTAGGTAGGAAAACTTCGAATACCAAGTCTTCCACAATGACCAGCAATTATAGCACTTACCACTTACAGCAATTGTAGGAAGTAAATTTTTCACAAAAAAATTGGTCGGAACAACTGAAACAGAAGTTCTTGGTATAAAGTGGAAATGCGGGCACAATTGTAGAAAAAAGGAAACAATATAGTAAGAGTTTAGTGTGTTAAAACTCATTTGGGCGTCGTAAGAATGGATTAGAAAATTACGCCAATAATCCCCTGGTGAGACAAATGAGGCTAACAAAGAGCATATTCCAAAAAAGCAGAACGTATCAAGATTCCAGAGGAAATTTCAGAAGCCAATGATTTTCCCATTCTATCAGTGTTCGAGCGAATAAAACTGGCAAAAATATTTATTGGGGAAAGTGATTTGTCCAGAAAAGTGCAGAAAAAACGCCATCAATTTCAAATAATTGGACCAAGGTTTAGAGTATGGGACTCAAAATGAACATATGGAAAAACCTATCGTAGTTTAAGATATGCTAAAATTTGGCAATTCTGAATCTTCCCGATTTAATTTATATACCGCACGCAAATGTGATTAATTAAAAAATTCGAAAGTGTGGCATTAAAATACTCTTAGTCGCACTGTAGGGGAGTGAGTTATGTTCCGAACCAACTGATTTAGATCCGAGATGCTCTATCATGCAACAATATCCCTTATGTGTCTCAATTTGTACTCTCATTGGCAATTTCTCATTCTGGCACCCCTTAAGGTGAACTCATCTAACCCAACTACACCATTCATGACTTCATAAAATATACTGTAATGCGTCCAGTACATATATTTATGTAACTCTAAAGTGAATTAGCAAATTAAATTACTTTCATTTTCACTGAATTTTGATCCGGAGTAAGTGTACTCTTTGGTATTTTAAAGCGATTTTTAGATGTTCTCAGTTGGTGGTACGCAAACAATTTTTAGCTCATATTTAAAAAAGGAAATTAAAATTGTAAATTTTTATAAAGTGTGAGATCCCTATGTGATATGATTGTGGCTGCAAATGAGCAGATATTTTTTCTGGAGTACGCAATCCTGACACGATTCAACTAATAAATTTCATTTGCACTCTAAAATTCTGGTTTATGTGGTCGTAAGTGCAGAGGACAGAGTAGAATTTTAATAAACGTTGTATTCCCTATACGTCTGCTTCCTCATTAGCCACACTAATCCCTAGATATAGGATATTTTGCCATTGAAATTACTGAGAATAAATCTAGTCTTATCGTATAGCATTGATGCTCTTTTGTGCTATCCAGGAAATTGATTTCAATGGCATTATCCGGACCCATCTAATTTTCTTAAGAAGAAGTGAGCATGTCAATACCACCATTAAATTAGCATCGTTGGACAATTACTATTTGAATATAATTGGTGGACATGTGAGTAATATATAACCACATGCAGGTAGTTACATACTATTGCTACCACTATCCGTCGAAAAGACGAAAGAACACGAGTTTCTATGGGAGTGTTTTAAACAAAAGTCACCCGATAAATCTCAATTCGGAAAAGCCATCTCCTCCAATGTGTTAAGGTTGTATTAGTTCTTATCACGTACCCCACCCCCCTCCTCCTCTCTCCCTGTAACTTGCTCGTCGTAAAAATACGCCTAAAATGCTAAAATGTTTGACGGTGTGGATAAACTGGTTACTATTAGGATATATTCACTTAGAAAATAGGTGAAGGTCTTAATAAGCGGACGTTGGAACATTATAACTTTCTATTTCGTTTCTTAAACGAACCGATTTATATCACATAATCGATATTAGATTGTTATAAAGTTGATTCGTTTTAAATGGATTTAAAGAAGAAAAAGGTACTTTTTACATAAGAACTCGTTTTGTAATTGGTTTAATTGACTTTTTAATAAATATTCCAATATTTGCTATCCAATTTGGTTCATTTTCGATTAAACCAGGTTTAACCGTTGTTAATTAATATATCAAAAAATATATCAAATTATATATATATATATATATATATATATATATATCGTTACACAATTATATCAAAGTTTCAAAGATAGATATTGCATTCAAAATTTAAAATAAAATAGGAATTATATGAAATGAAACAAGAAAAATAAAGCTTCATCTTATATGTAGTATTTATGTAAATTAGACTCACGAATTTTGAATTTGTGTCAGTACAACACTGAAAGAATGCCGGATTGGATACTAAGGTATACTTTAGGTGAAGCCTCCATGCTTCAAAACTGATATTCTCAAAAAAATTTCTTCTACAGAAGGAAACAATAGAAGAAAGCGTTCGACGTTTCCGTGGACAGTTTTCGATAGCCAGAAATGCCATTTGAGAAAATGAGAAATATTCATTGGAGTTTGATGGATTAAAGAAACGTTCGGATTCATCAACAGAAAGGAAAGAGGGAAGTTCGTACTGTTCAAGCCAGTTAAGAGGACGAAGCTCCTCAATTACTTGATTGTCCATTATTATATGAAACGGTGCTTGTATTACCGTTAATCACGAATAAACTTTTCTGAAAATCTGATATAATGCTTTGAAGTCTGGCGAATCCTCAATAAAAGTTAATTTTACGATGCAATTAAATCAAATTTGTTAATGAGATGCAACTTGCAAATATTCCTAGAAATAAAAATATTAATAACTATTCAAATTAACGCATAACAAAGAAAGTTAACAATCCATAAAGAGTAATGAATAACTATGAAATAGTTGAAACAGAACGAAATGGCCATATAAAAGATAGATTTATTTACGCAGAAGGTATGTTAATAATTTTAAGCACAATAAAACCAACGAACAGAATTTAATACATTTTAAAAATAAAAATAGGCGTCTTGATAATAATGCATAAAAACATGTATAAAGGTGATAAAATGAATTGTTGATAGCCGCGCAAATACTAAATTAATCGTACTGTACCTGACAAAGAGATTAATTTGGGATTTCGAATAATTTGAATGGACGGGTTATAAATTACCGCCCTAATGAGTTTCATCATATTATTTTATATATAATAGCTTTTATATCGCAATTTTTTAATTTTTTTCGAAATAATTTAAATTTTATATATTTAATTAGTATTCTTGTTTGTAATAGTAACCCCTAAAGAGAATCTTTTGAATTATCATCTTTTCTTCACCGGCATTTATTTAATCGAATTTATTGGTTTGTTTTAGAATTTCTGTTTTATTTATCTTAATTTTAAATTAAGCTTTTAATTTTCATTTTTTTCACATCTCAATTTACCTTTTTGTTTTGTATAGTCATGTTGAATAATAATTCACCTAACATAGTCACATCTGAAGATGAGAGTATTACGTCAACTAGTGTAACTAAAAGAAAACTAGATGAAGGCGTTGATCAAGATCTGAAGCCGACAGAATCTCAACCAAAGATTTCTAAACGGTTACCAAATGGAAGTGGCATTAATTTAGTTTCATATGACTTTGACCACGATGACGAGTATAGCCAATCTGATTGTAGTTCCTCCGCGGATGCTGGCGACGAAGCAACTAAGGAATCTTATCTTCCATCTAATGTTGCAAATCTTCCTTTTATGAATACTGATGGTGGTCCAGTTACTGTTCTTAGCTCGGAGCACATTGTAGCTGCTCATGATTCACCAGCCGATTTAACTGACGGGGGTGCTTCAGCTACTGAATCGCCTGCAGAAAAAGACAATTCATCATCAGATAGTGCCTCTCCTTTAAAAGAAGAATCAGAAACCGTTAAAGATGAAGACGATGTTGTCCTTCCTCCGGAACCTTCAGAAATGTGCAGCTTGGATTTGCAGAATAAAGTAGAAACTACTATTCGACGAATGCAACATGATATTAGCTTCGATCTCAATCGCATGATTCAGGATAATAAATTCTTCCGAAATCCAAGGTTAGTTTATTTCCTAGACTATTTAGTGAAAACTAGGGAATTACCTACGATGTTGTTCGCGTTATTTCTTCACTATCTCCTTTTACTTGTCCTTTTAATGTAACTTTATTTCTATGTACATCTTGCTGGCATATATTATGGCATTTAGATTTTACATCTCATATTTTTGAGGTTAAGAACTCCTGCTTTTATTTTCAAAAGTGTTTTCTCGAGTCTGATTTTAATGTCAACAGAGTATTTGTTATTTTTCTCTTATCTATTATGTTTTTTTCTTTATGTGTTTTATTTCCTGTGCTTCTCTATTTCACTGAGCTTCGTTAGTTTTCAATTCTTGGTTTGTGTTTAATGACTGAACATTTGTCCAAAGGGATTGCTGGTTGTGGTCGTATGGACTGTGCTCAGCTTCCTAAATGTACATTAGAAAGTGCATTTGAAACTTTATTCTGCCCTCATTTTTCTCATCATCATTCTAACTGTTAATCATTCCTTTAACAAATGCTGCTCTTTTCAGACATAAATAAATCCCTTTTCGTGATATGGTTCACTTCGGTAGAATCTTAGCATTAAAGTGGATTTGAGGATAATTTCACCTGAGCAATTGTTTGCATTCACGTATACTTTTTATCCGACATTTCACAACATAGTTTTAATATTGTGGGTATCTTTTCATTATAGCAAAGTGTACACCAATAAATAGTCAAGTATAAATGTATGAGTTGTGGGCCGTTCCCACATTTTGAGGTTTTTGTAGCTTTTTTAGATCTCATAAATATGACTTCTTAAACCGTTTTCCATATTTTTTTTCAGTATTTACAAGAAGTTGATCAGCTTTCTGGGTATCGATGAAAAGGGGTCGAATTTTTCTAAGGTAAGTGTTGTCTTTGCAACTGCTGTTTTGTCAAGCATCCTAACGCTTATGGGAACTATTTTTTTTACTTCATCGCTAGGACGTCTACGACCCCTACCGCTGGGATGCCAACTCGTATTATGACAAATTGGCTGAGATCCAGAATCGGGAAGTGGAGCGTCAGGATAAGCTCCAGAAAGAGCGTCGCAAGGCCGATGCTACAAACGCTATTCCTGACTCAACTACGGCTTCCGGTGCCACAGCAGGGCTTCATCGTACGGCTAGCGGAACTGGTGTGTTCTGTTAATATTATATATCCCTGTTTTCATATTTTCGCACAAATAATGATTGCTCCATTTTTTTCTTATATCGCAGTGCTAGGAGCTGATTGCTTGTGACATCCTCTCAAATCCACCCTATTTGTGACTTTTTCCTGAGTAGTTAAATTTGCCAGTTAAGTCTTCTATGAATTTCACTATTATAGATATGCAGGAAATGGCACATAATGTGCACAATACTTGCTTAGAGAATTACAAGGTTTTGCTATTCAAAGACATTAGAAAGTGCAGGGCTTAGCATACTGCATTTCTACCAATAATGGCCAAACGAGGGTACACCTCGTGGAGGTAAGTCTATCTAACAAACAACGTATTTACTTAAAATGGCTAACCCCTCTATATGAAGGCAGTTGATAAAAGAATAAAGTATGAGCAAAATGAAAGTCACACTAATGTTGATTACCCTAAATCCAATTAAGAATATGATTAAAGTAGGAATGATGCCTGTCGTCAAAGTTAAGTGGTATGCTAGAATGATCTGGAAAACAATAAGAGATGAAAGAAGTTATATAGGGATATTCCAACTCTCGTTTCTATGTTGCTTTCTTTTCCTTTTTTTAGAAGTGAAGAAAAAGTCCAAGTGGGACACTGCTGGACCCGTTGATTCATCCCAACTGCCACCTCCAAAAGTTGCAGATCCACTGAGTGGCAGTGCAGTTGGTGGAACTGCCAAGGTCACTATTCCTGCTATAGGTGATCTGTTCCACAAGAAGTAGACACCCCTTCTCTCTCGTGACCTATTTTCTCTTTGTAAATGACAAACCTACCCGCCCGCCCCCCCCCCCCCCCCTCTTCACTTACACGGTCTGTTTGGTTTACTATTGTGATGCTAGTATACGTGGGACACGTCACCTCTTAACGCGTCATCGCATGCCTGCACGCCAGGATTGGGAGGTGCGGCCGTACAACTCTGTGTACAACGACCAATCATTAACCTCTGATAGTGTACACTTTATCCACAATAATCCTACTGAATAAACGTGTTCCGTAGCTGGTCTATAGCTTAACTGGTTCTGGGAGTCTAGCTAGATGTAGGAGAATCTGCCGTTCTGGGAGTCTAGCTAGATGTAGGAGAATCTGCCACAGATATAAACGCGCTCCGTGCTACACGTCTGTTTTCTTTATAGCTGAGCTATAGCTTAGCTGTTCTCTAGCTAGATGTAGGAGAATCTGCCACAGAGATTTCTGATTCAGTCAGGCTTTATAAGTGTAGCAAATCCGCTACATCTGTCTATATGCTTTCTGTATTCGTGGCTGTTTACTAGTAACACCTATCACATTGGGAAAAAATTAAGTTCTTCGCTTTGGGAAAGCAACTGAAACCGGTTAACAGTAAGCTCAACAAGTGAAAATGAGATACAACAAGGTACCAGTCCTAATTCATTAGAATTTTGGATTCGCTGTGCCCATTAGTTACTAAATGGGCAGCTCGCACGACAAACTTCCAATTTTAGCTATTATTGAGCTATCTTTCGGCCTACGTGATCTTAACGGTTGGTGATGAGATAGAGAACATACTTTTTGACGGATATCCCCATCCATACTGCATAACTCTTCAATTCCGTTTTTCATTATGGTGCCTCCTTACGAGAAACTCATTCCGCCGCCTCTGCAAGTCGAACCATCTATTGGATATGCATCGAGTCCATAACCTCTAACTTGACCACGTGATTTTTTCACCTATAGAAATCTATTTATGGGAAACGCTTGAAAATTTAAGAACCTGAGTTTAAAAAGATTGGAATGGGAGAGCTATAATGCTACCAAGGTCCACAACTGACAGAAGGGAGTTGGAAGTACTATTACCTCCATCTACTAAGAGATCGATCAGGTTTTAAAGTATTTCAACCATTTGATCACTGATTTAAAAATTCCTGCACTTGAAAAGGGCTATAAAATTCAGCAACCTAATGAAAAGTCTAATTTGATCTTTCCGCCGTATTCTAAAAAATTGCAGGACCATATAAAAACAGCAATATCAACTTGAAATCGACCTCTTCCTCCTAGCGAAACAAATCGAGTTCAAATACAGCAGATAAATAATTTCACAAGTAAGCTTACAATATTTACACATCGAAAGGAACAAATAAAAAGAAAAAATTCAATATTTAGAAAGAAGCAATTAATGTGCGTGTCCATGGTTCGCATCAGCATGATTATGTCTACTGCCACTAGCATAATTAGAAGGCCCTTGAAGGAGAACAGAATTCTGCATATATCCACTCGGCGGCGGCCAATCAAAATTCACATTAACTGTCGATCTAGTCCAGTCATCCTTCATGACCTGAATGGTCAAGTGTTTGACAAAAGGATGAAGCCTCCGTGTGACATGAGCTAAAACCAGCTGCTCAGATGCATCACGCCTAACTCTCACATACAAACTCCCAACTAGGGCACCGAATCCAATCGTCCAAAAGTGCTCATTTCGAAGCTCTAAAACGCCTTCAAGTGTTGAAGCCTCACGCAGAGCCTTGTCCAATGCGGTAACGAGGTATGAAGGCGTCGTTTGCAGTAAGATCTTCCCACTGTATACCGCCATGGGTACCATAGTGTTAAATAGAAGGAGGGATATTATCACAGCTGCAACAGTGTCGGGAAACGTCCCAGCCTCGGAGCTTGGGTCGATTAAAACATATGTGACCATGGTCACCAGGAAAATAATAGAACCAACTAATGCAATCGGGTTCATCCTTGGTGGTAGAATTCGGGATAGCGAAGGAATGCTACTCCTTAGGGACCGACTGATATCTGCCACTTGCTCCTAAAATACAAAAGAGAGGGTTACTAAAGGCGCAAAAATAAGCTATTGAGCAAACACGAACTCGTGTTTCCGCAAGTCTCAATTGTTAGTTGATTACCATGTATTAATGAAGTAAACATCGGGAATTCATTTCACTGATTGATTAGAGCAACTTCATGTCATCATTAGCATCCTTAACTAGAGTTTAGGGAACATGAACTTTGGGGGTAACAGTTACAATCGGTAGATTGAATAGAATTTCAAGAATTAACAAACATAACATCGACTTATTGCATAAATAGTACCTATCATGGAGACGCGAGAGGCAGAACTCAAAATAAACAATTGGCCTAATGATACGCTTAAATCCATACTATGTAAAACATCGAACCTTAACGTATAAAATCTATGAAGGATAATTAACAATAAATAGTATTATTTTCTGGAGCGAAAATTCTTCATTTTTTAATATTAACCTCCGTCAAAACACAAAAAGCATAAAAAGGATATTCAATCTAATAACCCATAAATCGATAAATGTTGGAAATGAATAATAAACAACTCTAGTCATTGAAAATACAAATGTTAACACCCTAAACAAGTTAACAGTAGGAGACCCCAATAGTCCTGACCACATTCGTGTTAAAAGTACATTCGAAACACTGACTCAAAGATTCCGCACTATTCACTATTCCACTATTCACTTCACCTTTCAACCTCCATGACTCAAATAAAGTGCCTACACTTCCACACACACTCATGTTTTAATCACTGTTGTGAAATATACTTCGATTCGCACTCAGTTTTTGGGACTCCGGTTGTCTGCTCCTAGCTATATTAAATTTGTGATTCATTTTAGCCTAAAAAATAGTATACCCTTTGTTTGTATCAGCATTGGCAATCACAACAGAAAACAACTTACTTGCAACCAGCTGGAGACACAAGCTTGGGTCACGTGAGTAAAGGCCGGATTATCGACCAAATAAATCGTAACAACATGAAAGGAGAAGCACAATAGGGCAGTAAGAGGCATATACTCAACTACAACCTAAAATAACATAAATGAATAGTAGTTATTCTGGAACATCTTGTAAGCCAAATAAAAATAACCATACCACATCTGGTTCAAACAACCGCTCGATAGCCTCCTTAAGAAGGTAAAAAGAAGAGAGAATTGAGAGAATAGTGGCTGCGAAAACTGAAATCACTTCAAATCTCTCATATCCGAAACAATACGTTTTCACATCCGCCGATTGCTGTTTAACCCATATGCTCATAAGTGCAACGAGAAGATAGAGAACATCAAAGAGGATGAGGTCTGCAAATGAAGTCAACGCTATGCTGAGGAGAAGGGAAAGAGGTTGGTTAGATTGGGAAAGAACGCATACCTATTGCTAAGATAACAGAAGACTTTGGCAGAGATGAAACTCATGAAAACAACACATACGAGTTTCAAGATATAACTGGCTTTTTTCGAATCCCTAGACAAGCGGAGAACTTCTTCAATTAACTCACAAGAAAGTTGATGACAGTACTTGAGGTCTGAGAACAAGCCAGAGCAGATGCGGCTTAGCATAACGATGGGATACATAACCATATCTTAAAAAATTGAAAGCAACAATGATTAAGATATTATGACCATTTAGTGGAGACAAAACTAAATACCAAGAGAGCAAAATAAGCTATATTTCAAAGAATTTGTCACAGTTACTCGGGAAGAGTTTCCATAGCGCGAGAAATAGGGGCGGAATTACGTGGAGAAGGATAAGCCATTTCAAGCTCAGACTCTAGTTCGGCTTTCCATGCAGCTTCAATTGCATTTGCTTCTTGTTGATATTCAGAAGGATACTTGCGCTTTAGAATCTTTTGTATGGAATCAACTCGTTTAAGAATTGTATTGAGTTCTCGCTTCGTGGACACTAGCATGCGCCCATAGGAACGAAGCTGACTTGTCAGGGATTCTGAGCGTTGGCTAGATAGTTCATTTACAGTTTGTAACATTGCGTTGGTCTTTTCAAGACGTGATAGCAAGCTTTTTTGTTGAGAAATTATCTTAGAGATGCCCTGTTCGCAAAGTATGTTTTCAAAAGCTCGACAGCCAGGTGTTATTTTGTCAAGATCTTGACTTACATTGGTCATTTCAACTCAAACGCAATCACTAATTGAAAACGCATTATTATTCCAGGTTTAATGGAAATTGAGAAAAAACTATATAATAATCAAGCGAATAATTCTACTATATAAATTAGACTTTGAAAAATGAGAGACAAGATTAAAGCAATCACACATTTGTATTTGACCAAAACGTCAAATGACCTACTTGAGCACTACAGACGTGTAACACCAATTTAACATGGGCATATAGCAGACATCCGAATTGTGCCAACTAAAACTGCCAGAGAATGTGTTAAGAGAACTATAAAAGCGTAAAAATATTAATTAAATCTAATATCTTGAATAAAAATTGATTACGATTAATTAATGCTATTGAAAATCTCGTAACTGGTTTTCGTAACTAAGTAATATCAGCATACCCCACATGGCTAATCATTTATAAATGAACGAATTTTGCGGTATATATATTTGAGAAGCAATAAGCAATAAACTTCTGTTACATTCTGATTTTAAAAGAATAATATTTTATGACAAATAATAACTTAACAAGTGAACATAAACACCGCCTCACACATTATAAATAAGTTGTCTAAATTTAAAATAGAGGATACATTTTCATGGAAATTGCTTTTATTTTTCAATATGCCCCAAGAATTCTTTTAGCTTCGTGGGTAATAAAAATGAATAAATTAATTAATGCGAGTAAAATTAAACTATCAGATTGTTTGTGAATTGATGGTCTTATTTAACTTTATTCTAAAAATTGCAATCAAAAATTATGACGACTGAAAGCTAATAAATATAAAACATCGTAGACGTTAATTAAGCTTATTATTAAGACTATTGCAAACATGGTCTATCAATTGGATATTTATTGTAATGGCTTGAGATAGCCAAAAAAGTAAGAGAGGGACTTAAGGAAACCGAAAGTGATCACACAATCCGCGAACACATAATCCGTTACAATCAACAAAAATCTTATAATTGAAAGCATATGCGTAGTAAGCTAAGTTCAGATATTAAGTAGGAATATATATATATATATATATATATATATATATATATATATATATATATATATTCGGCTAATACTCTACTGCATTAAATGAAAATTCATAAAGTCTTTTTATCTTAATTTGTTTTCCTATTTAAATGATCGTTATTGCTAAAAGGTTTTACAATTAACTCCCATATTTCCAAGAAGATTTAGCTTACCATTATACTAAGTTTGAACAATTCAAATTATAAATAACGCTATTTTCAGTAAAAGTGACCTAAATTATATATCTTTAAAATAGTAGACTTAAAGTGTAATAACATAATATTTTATATTTGGGATGCGCAATAGACTTACCTCCACGTGGTGCACTCTGGGCAACGTATACTTATACGGCAAAAAGGTCTATTGATCGGCAGTTGACTTCTGAATTCAAACTACTATGGGCCGTCTATTTTTCATATTCGACCCCTTTCACAGTACTCATCTTACCTTTTTTATGCCTTTGTGTCTGTTTGTCTGTCTCTTTTACATCTGTGAATCACTGTTTTGTTCGCTCTCTCGACTTTTTGTCAATTTGATGTTCCTTCTCCTCTCTCTGTGAAGCCCCGAAGTCAGATCCAGGGCTGATGATAACTATCAAAACGCATGCCATTTCATATAAACAAATTAATATTTTATATTTTTATATTGCAGTTGCTAAATTGATGATAAATTTATAGTAATACGAAATATATATTATAATAATTTTGAATTTTTTTAATGGGCCTTATTCGCAGCACTTTTTCAGTTGGTCATCTACTGCTTGACTCTACATAATTACACGTGCTAATGGTATTACTTTGTCTTATGTTTTACCAAATATATAAATTTATTACTTATAATATTCTTATTGTAAATCTTTTACGGTCTTCGCGAAAAAATTTCCTTTCTTAAATTTTGACATTTTCTCCATCGATGAATAGTTTGAATATCTCATAATGATTTCTTGCTTGCTAAACACCTTTCTTGTCTTTGCAGGAATATGAGGAGCTTCAAGGTGCTACTACCGCACAGCATATGGCTGCCGGTACTTGTGCAGGCATTTTAGAACATTGTGTAATGTATCCTGTTGATCTCATAAAAGTAAGGTCCCATTATAATGTCCTTTTCATTGCTTAAAATTAACTTTAACATTTCAATTTCGCTGTTTAGACTCGTACTCAGTGTTTGCAAGCTTCAAAAAGTGTCTTCTCCGAAGGCCTATTTACACAACTCAAAAACCTATTTTTCAAAGAGGGGATTCGACAGTCATTTCGAGGTGTCGATGTCGTTGTATTAGGTGCTGGTCCGGCTCACGCTCTCTATTTTGGCGTTTACGAGCATGTAAAGAAACACTTGGAATCCCGGGTGCATCCAGACTCAGGCTATAATCATTTCGCTCATGCAATAAGCGGATCCTGCGCCACTCTTGCCCATGATGCCATTATGACTCCTGCCGATGGTAGGTTTTAATACATTTCTATTATTCTTTTGAAGTTTTATCGACTTCATGTGTTTAACCGTTTTATGCTGATTTGAGGTTTTAAAATTTTTTTAGTTTTCTTCTCTGATATACCTTTTTCTCTAATTTTTACTTCATTTTTAGTAGTTTGTACTTATTTTTACATCTTTGGTTTACTTGTAGATATTCTTGGTTTTTCAAAATTTAAAATTAGCTAGTTGCAACTTTTTTCTAGTATTTGTGCTTTCTTAATTATGCTCCACATTGATGTGAATATATGCTGTGTTCTCGTAAACTCGTACTTTATTCGAGCTGTTTGGTGCTATTTTCTCAATCAAATGCATAATCCTTTTGCTCTAGCTATTAAAATCGAATGTTCTAGATACTTTAGAGTTTTGGTGTCGGCACCAGTGTTCGTTTCCATCGGTCACAATTATTAGTGGGGATTTCAAGGTGGATTGTAAATTCCCCACAAACATTTTACCATTCATTTATGATATCAAACTTCTTGTCATTCAATTGAGCTGGGCTTTAAGCTCAAAATGATCTTTTTCTGTCATATTTCGTCGCAATTTTTTATTGCTTTCTGTAATATCGTACGCAGTTGATTATGCCGCAATTTGGTAGTCATAAGATGCTCATTAATTAATATGGACACTCCCTTATTAATTTTATGGTAGACATATTTTAGAATATGCGTTCGCTAAGAATATGAAGTTCGCTAAGGCATTTTAAGGAATAAATTTTTTATTTGCTATTTTCGCACATTTCGTCGGTCAAAGGAAAATAAGGACTATTTGTAGAAATGGTTGTTTTTTAGCAGTAAACCTAATGCTCTTTGACAAAATGTCCTTGTAACGCTTATTTTGTGGAATCGACTATTTTATTTTTTTCTATTGTATTTATTCCATAATGGAATCATCGTTGAAGTCTGTCACTTGTGATTTCTAACTCAGTAGTTATGCGCACTGTTAGTCAAGTTAGAGCGTTGCACTTTTACTGCGGTCATAGTGCAAGCAATGAGGTCATGTCATAAAAATCTGTTAAATGATAACCAAATTGCATTTTTATATACTACATAGAAGGACTTTTAGTATTGCACTAATTAGCTAAATTCTCTAGAAGGCCATCATACGGGTTTCCGACTATATATTTCAATATAGATATTAGTGGTTGCTAATTTATTAAGCATTGGCTACTGAAGTTAAATTTCGGCTACGTTCTAGAAAGGTATAATTTCTTACATTTAAACGATTATCTCCCTAGTTGGCCATTGACCCGACAGTAGTGGGATTCACCTCCCAAACGCGGAGGTTGTTTCTAATAGTCAGCAGTACCATCGCTTTAAGGATGAATCACGTGACACATAATCACGGGTAAATAACTTTTGTGGTCATTGCAAAATGCGTTTTCAGCTTTCTTATTCAACCTTTTTTGATAACTGACCCACGTTTTGCTTTCCTATTATAATCATTGTTAATGGCTTTCTGCACAATTTCCACGACTAACTGTTTCGAGAATGCTATTTGGACTTGGTTTTAAAGAATTGGCCAATGGAAAAGTGTGTGTTATTTTTAATTTCCCCTGTTGTTGATTTTATTTATTAGATTTTGCATTTGCCTTTTTTCAGTAAATACGTTCTTGCTTTGAAGTGGATGTCTATGTTAGCAAGAATTTGGGGATCCTAAAATCATTGCGTTGCCGATCATACTATAGAATCGAAGGCATTATCGGCAGGCTGGTAGTTCTTCTGAAATGGGAGTTGTTAATCTACCCTCAAATGCATAGTTTCAATTGAGAAAAGGCTGTTTCTTTCTCCCAAAATAGGCTCTTAAAGACTTCTTTTTCTGTAGGTGTTGGTTCCCTCTTCCGTATTCGCTTAGAATGACTAATCACATTGGGATGGGGGGGGGGAGAGTGATAAGCCTTGCCGTTCTCCCATGGGCGCAGTTTGTTAAGGCAATAAGACATCCACGTTAAGAAACACAATCGTATCTATTTAAATTTGGATTGTCGTGTTTTGCAAACAATTTCTGGTTCAATTTGATAGTGCAAAGAGCACACGTCTGAAATTCCGCAAGCTGAAAGATTGCGTAGTGATGTCGCAGTGTTCGATGCTACAAGTTGCAAATTGTAGTTTGAAGACTACTGTGGTTTGTTAAATCTATTAAGGAACTATATGCCTGTCTAAAAGCGTTTTCGACTGTAATTAGTCTCAATATATTGATTTCTGTCATTTTAGTGATCTAATCTTCTTAAACTCTTTTCTGATACTCACTTTCCACCACCTGACTTTTGATTAGCTTATGCTTTTTTGCTTGTGCTTAAATAATTATTCGACCAATTTTACCTAACTTGATGGATGGTTGGATGGATGGACAAATGGGATGAGGATGCAGATTCGGTGCAATGTGGTTGGACTTAGGAAGTATAGATGTACACTTTCGCCTCGTTTCAAATACCACTCACATTAGGGTCGATCGTAAGCGGAAATCAAAATAATCTCATTTCGTAATATAATCAGTCGTCATTGGATGATTAATTAGAGATTGGTGGTATAATATTTAAATTAGGTAGCCAAATTGCTTGCTCCTATAAATTGGAATAGCTTGAAAGCAAGTTTCCTACCACTATTCACATTTATTCTTAGAGAGGACACAATTCGTTGATCAAGTATCGTCGGCATGAGTTGGAATCATTAAATATGAATCTCCATTTATTAAAAGTAAAATTTGAACAAGTCCATTCTGGAAATTAGTAACATTGTAAGATATTTCTCAGACTATTTACTTTACGTATTGCTTAGTTTTGAGGTCCATTTTGCTGGGTGCCAGATTTTATAAACACAATTTTTCGCATGCACATAAATTTCCAAAATCTAATTTTTGTAAATGAACGGCTCCGGTTTTATTTGGTAGTTGAAGCAATCGTGATTCTGTAAATAGTCTGTGGTTCGTGTCAAGTGTCCTTCTCTGCACACCCTTAGTGCCGAATGTCCAGTTGGTGTGGGTACCAGAATTCCAGACTTTTTTTCATCACTTTGCATCACCTCTATTCTGTATTTTTTTGTAAATAGCAATTAAACAACGGATGCAAGTAACCAGTGATTCCCGATCAACATCATTCAAATGCTTTCGAACGGTTGTTAAGTCAACCGGCGTGTCGACTCTCTATCGGGCCTACTTCACCCAACTGGCGCTCAATGTCCCCTTCCAGTGTGTACATTTTGTCACCTACGAGTCCCTACAACGCAAACTGAATCCCGACAAGCAATACAAACCCTGGACTCACATTGTCTCTGGTGGAATTGCTGGTGGTACAGCGGCCGCAATCACCACGCCTTTGGATGTTTGCAAAACTGTCCTCAACACTCAGGTTGGCTCTTCTATTGACATTTTGGGAAGAGATATAGCTTCTGAAATCACATTCGAAAACTCGGAATGCATCAACTAGATCACGTTCTAATATCCTCGGGGTATTAATAATCATGTTCATAGGTGTAAAATGCCTTGTTGTGGTCAACACATCAATGGTGGATAAAAAAGGGTTTGTGGGGATTCGAAGGCCCTTGGTGATATCTCTCTACCGATGGGGAGTGTTGAAAATTGCCTTCCTAGATGAGCTGGTTGTTTAGGATTACACAAACATTTATTTATTTATCTCAAATGACAGGGGCTTTGATAGTTATCATTAGACACAAAGTCAGAGAAAAGGTAAGGTGTACACTGTGGAAGTAGTCGAATATGACATACAGTGGGGTGATGGTAGTTTGAAGTGAGAAGTCAACTGCCGGTTAATAGGCTTGTTTGTCGTATGAGTATACATTGCCCAGGATGCACCACGTGGAGGTAAGTTTATCGCACACCCCGGATTACACAATAACAGTAAGTGAAATTGAGGTTGGGGGGTTATGTAGCTAGTTCTATCAGGGTGACAATGTGACTTTACTGTGCTTTCACTGTTATATGTTCTACAATTCAAATCACCACACAAGTGTGAAAGGCGTCAAATTGGTTGTGACATGAAGCTTAACTCTTGCTTTGCTTATTGGTAAAAAAAGCGATCTAAGTGTGGACGACTGTGTAAACTAGGCTGTGATTCTTTTTCAAGGTGGTTATTTATTAGTTTTTTTTATCTCACTACCACAAATATTCCCTCTCCGTATTGTTATCGCAAAACGTGTGCGAGATTCAGGAGAAATGCTTTCCTTAAAGCAGTGATATTCAAAATCCACTTTACTCTAGCGTCTTGTTTCAATAAAGTAAAGTGTCTCATAAAAGTGCACAGCTTTCATCAAGGTGGAATAGAAGGTACATAGTGCAGCAAATATACTTTAGTTGAGTAGAATTTAGCTTAAATTTTGAAAAATTTCCATTTCGTGATTTTTTGTCTGGTTGGGTATTGGGATTTAACTACTGAAAGCAAACACATCGACCACTTTAAAATATACGGACACGTTGTGTGTGTGTGCCCAGTAACCGAAAGACCAATCACACATTACGTGTTTCTCAGCAGGTTGGCTCCCTGATGATATTCCTTTCTCAAACGGAATGCTGAAAAATGCTCTTCTAAATGTCCTTGGTCGCTTCTGTGGAATTTTTTCACTGTCATTGTCATTTTTACCATTACAAATATCGTCTGCTGGTTCATTCTTGTGTATTTTATGACTGAGGGTGAAATGGGGGTCCTCATGCTCTCATGCGCATATTTCAAGCTAATTAAATCTAACGCAGTGGAATGTCCACAAATATTGCTTGATTTCGAATTTCCATTTTTACTCTTTAGGACGTCGTGGATGGTAAACTTTCAGTTGTTCCCACAAATATGAACACCCAAGCTGTAACAACTACCGCAACTGTGCCTTCTGCAAATGGTAGTTCAGTCGTAGCTAGTGAAGTTTCCGCCGCAGTACCTTCGAAGGCTGTCACAACTGTCACGACAGTAGTTATCAAATCCCCACCTCAAGCCCAAGTGAATATTCGAGGTCTTTTCGGTGCAATTCAAACAGTTTTGGAGAGCCAGGGTCCCCTCGGCCTTTTTCGGGGAATGAATGCCAGGGTTGTGGCCATCTTACCGGGCACTGCAATCTCCTGGTCAATCTATGAGTACTTCAAGTGGATGCTCTCTCGGCGGAATGGTAGTGGAGCGTCTAAGAACCCTGAACAGCAGATAGACACTTGGATGTGAAGGTTACCGCCACTCACCTCCATTCAATCTGTATCTCACGCTTATGTGACCATGAACTACGTTCACATTTTTATTATGCATTCCATTCGCCTCCACCTATCCCAGAGTCCATCCGCCTTCCTATATATATATACCCTCTAGCTCTGTGATCCTGGTTTGCATATTCGCCACAATTTACTCGGATTCGTTTTAGTACTGCGTTACTCTTTTTTGTTGAACCTCTACTCTTTTGGGAATGGGTGTTTGAAATTGATGAGTTCATTGGTTAATGTGTATAAGGCCTTTAAACTCTCATAGTTCCACCTGTCTGACCGGATAAAAGATCATATGAAGAGGGAAAGGAGTATCCCCATTCGGTTCTTTGGTGGGGGTAAATCGCCCGGTAACATAATTAACTTCATTACTAGTAGTGAGTACTACCTTCGCTTTTCTTGCATTCATCAAGTTCTTTGAGTAAACTATTGATTAAGGTGCCGCCTAATTACAAATTAACTTGTGTATAGTCTGTTTGGTCTTATTAATGGGACAAGCCTGGAGTGGTCCAAGATTTCATTAAGGGATATTTTAGAATATACGACAGTGAGTCTAAAGGTTCTCAGGAAATTTTCAATGTTTAATCATTTAACAAATGATTATATTCATTTTTCTGCATAGGTTCCATTGTTGTCTACACACTTGTAATTTCTATTTCCACCTGTAATTGCCTTATGGTAGAATTTTAAGAGCAGTCTCTGGCACTGGAATTACATGCTTATTCGCTTCATCTTAAGGCATAAATTGAGTCCGTATAAAGTGTTCCTTCAGCTTTGGAAACGATATAAATGTCTGAAGGAGCTAGTTCTGGACTATAAGGAGGACGTGGAAGTGTTTCCCTTTTGCAATTCGCGCAACAGGGACCTGACAGTCCTTGAAAAATACGCGGAGGTAATGTCATAATGAAATAGCATTTCATTAGTTTCCCTCGCCGCTTTGTTATTGACGAGGGATGTCTTAAACTTCCGTCCTTGAAAGTCTACCGTCATCACTCTTTGGATCCCCAAAAAATAGTAGCCACGGTCTTTTCAGCTTTGAACTTGGCAGGACCAAATTTTGCCATTGGATCCTACTCTTTTGATTAAATTTTGTTTTATGCATAAAATTGGTTGATCCGAGTTTCATCTCTGATATTATCCTCATTTGCTTCCATCCTTAATAAGGTTGCTATAAAAAGTTTTACTCATGCCAGGATTTTCAGTGAGGATTGAAAATGCCGATCTGTATGCCGCTCCCACTTCGTTGCCAATTTCCCCAATGACAACTCGTCCACCCTCTTCCTGCATCGGGTTCTGAACAAGGATGCGGTGATTTCTCGATTCCTTGTTGCGGAGGGTCACCCTCCTTGTGCATCGTCGGCAAGCTGCACTCTTCCCCCCTTTAAAGCGCTTAATTCAGTAAAAAATGATTGCTCTTCGTGGTACAGAGTCCCCATAAACCTGTTGCAAAGCTTCTATGATCTGAATAAGCTTCCTTTTTAGTTTGGTTAAATATAATTTGCTAGTTCTGAGTTCAAAATGTGCCATTTGAAGGGTTAATGATTGGTAGCTATTATAAGATGCAACCTGTCTAAATCATGCTTAAACAAGTAAATCTTAGTTCTATTTTAAAGTTTGAGCATTTGTCCGCGAATTTTTTGCCTCACCCTTGTTTATGACTGATAAATAAATCATGGAACCTGATATTAAGCATATCTAGGCAGTCTAGATTTCCGCAGAACACTTTGATTCATATCCTGTTTGTTTGGTAAGCTTGATCCATACTCCCTTTCCCAGGCTACTAGCTTAACCTACTTCCAAGTTTTCAGTAGTTATGGTTCTGTGGTAGGTCTATTGTGCTCGTAGGAGAAGAAGGGAAAAGACTTACTTCTTTCCACGTATTGAAAGAATAACAACTATTAAAATATAACGGTGAATAGTTGGTTTGATCAGCTACCTGGTTGTTCAGTAATTGTGGACGGTAACTTATGAACAGGTATTTAGGGAACATTCGACTCTAACTGCGGTAGGAATGAAATTGAGATTGGATATGCCTACACCACCTCATTTTGCAATCATCCGGCACCCAAATGGAATGACAGTGATTCGAGCTGGTAAAAAAGCCTTAATTTGACATTAGCACGAACAAGCAAGTTTGGGTTGCATAAATATGAGTTAGAGAAAACCGTGCCAGAAAGTAAGTTGAGAAATAATCTGAATGAACTCACTGAGTAATATGAATCCTGTTCTTCCTCAATACTGACTAAAAATTCGCACTTTCAACTGTGAATAGATTGTGTTAAGAACAAAGGTGAAACAGTGGACAGTGACACTCTCCGACATAGCTGACTGGTCAAGAATCGAAGCCGTTGCTGAGTTTAGACTACGTACCGGACACGATTGCCTGACAAAACACCTTCACAGATTATGAGTATACCCTCAACCCACATGCCCCCTACGTAACCTACAGGAGGAAATGGAAAAGACCCACCTGATTCGGTGTCCAGCCCTAAAGACAACGACGGAGACTCAGAGATACTGGGAAGCCAGAAGACAGCTAATGAACTGCTATATATGTACTCCCCACCCATGGGGAAAGCTGAAGTCAAATTTTAAGGGCTGATGAT